ATAAATTTAAACAACTCACATAAGTTTTATCATGTAAACAATATGTGATTTATTATGAAACAAATATGTTATACATTTGATTTATTTTATTATATGTAATTTGAAATTATTTGTGCAACAAATTATATTGAAAGAACTGCTATTACTTTAACTTCCTACTTTATTATGTAAAAAATTTGTACAATAAATCAAACTAAATATGTTATAATTTTATATTTATTTTATTATTTAGGTATATTAATTTATGTGGATCCATTAAACATTAAAAAAGAAACATCTTGGGAGAAGTACCTAAAATAAATATACACTTTTTTTATTATATATTTATTATTTTTTTATTGATGTAAAATAAAATAAAATAAAATAACAGTCATTGATAAGACAAATAAAATAACAACACTTTTAAAGATAGTAATTAAACAAAGAAATAAAAACTACACACATATATTTATATTTATAAGATAATTAGTAATTAGTAATGAAAGTATATATTTACAATTAATGACATCTTTAATAAATTATTTCTCATTGTTCATTTATATTTTTTAAGATAATTAGTAAAGAAAAGTGCACAATATCTTCATTTATTTATTTATTTATTTAATATTATATTTATTCTTATATATAAGATTCAAATATTTAATTGTCACATACACTACTTTCATATATATTTTTTTAAGATTATCTTTATACTATTTTTTCTCCTAATTACTTTTTTTTCTTCTATTTATCAAGTAGAGTACATGTTCTATACTAATTTTCTCCTAATTGATATTGTTCTCTGTCAATCAATTAGAGTTTAAAGAGTATATAATTCATGTATTTTACTAAATTAATAGAAAATATTTTAATTAAGAGTATTTTAGTTTAAAATGATTAATACAAGAACCAATATGGACTGAGTCTTTTATAAAATATAAATAATTATTCTAAATTAAATATTGTAAATAAAAATAGAGATAACACTTTAAAAAAAATCATTTTTTTTATGTTTATAAGATAAATAGTAATGAAAAGTAAATTTATTTTTAATAAATCATAAAAGTATCTTTTATTACATATTTATCATAAATTGAGAAAATCTGCATTAATATAATATCAATAATTAATGTTTATATTCTATAATTACACGAACTAAAAAAAAATTCTATTTTAGGCTTTTAAATGAAATGATAAAAATGAATTAATATTATTACCTTTTTTTTTATTTTTAAATTTTAGAGACTTCACAGACTAAATTGACTATATGTACTCATTTCCCTTTTGCTTCTCATAGTAGTATGACGTATTTTAAATTTCTTCTTGAAATTAAGAAGGAGTAAAAGAAAGTTAGAAACAATCATTAAAAGGAAATATATGGTTAATTAATTAAGGATAAATTCATATATATGATTTGAATAAAATTTGTACCGACCAATAATTTAGTTAATAAAATAGTTACTCTTGTCAATGGTGATTTACGGAATAAGATTGTAATTTCCACTAAAAGTTGATTTGAAAATGAACAAACCACTTGGCCTCATTTATAGTCCCAAATGTGTGGTTTATAATTGTATATGATACAAATACTAACATATTGGTTGTCTATACTCCAAAACATAGTTTTCAACAACTAAGGATGTGAGATGTCACTAATTTATATAAATTAGGTTTGAATTTGGATGGAAAAAGAAAGCCCAACACAACTCAACTCACACCACTTGCCACGCATGAAAATGAAATCCAACTGTCAACTAAAAACCACAAAACAGAGTCACCATAATATTTTTTTCTTCTTCCAACCAAATAGAATTATTACCAGTGAAGTGATCATTTTTTTCCTAGTATTTAAGTAAATAACTAATATTTTAATCACCTAAAAAAAACTAATATTTTAATATGTGTATTTAAATTTAAAATAAATAATTAATATTATGACATAAAATATTATTTATTATTTATTTATCATTGATTTTAAAAATATTAAAATTTAATTGATAAGTAAATAAATATATAAAATTAAAAAAAAAAATTCTCTGTCAAAAAAATATTTAAAAATGTTTTTGTATAGAATAATTAATATATATAATTATATATAAATCGAGTTGATTATATACTTCGAATTCAAATTCAGTGTTGAATGTATGCTTAAAATTCGGTATCATTAATTAAATTGAAATAACCTTTATATCAGTTGTTGTTTATGATATTTTTTCCCACAAAAATCATTTTAGAGGACTACATTTATATATTCAACTAATAAAATTACATTTATTTGTTATGAAGACATGAATGTAAAAGGATTTCTATCATTTTAATAGTATTTTAACGTAGAAAAAAAAAATGTGGCTAATTTAGTAGCCCAGAACGGGCCGTTCCCAATCTGGAACGGGCCGTTCCAAGCTATTAAATCGAACTGAAAATCGTAGTTGAGAACGGACCGTTCTGGAGGGAGAACGGGCCGTTCTGGTGGGAGGACGGACAGTTCTGTTGGGAGCACGGGCCGTTCTGGATGGAGAATGGGCCATTCCGGAAGGAGTACGGACCGTTCTGGATGGAGAACGGGCCGTTTATATATATATATGGGTTTTGCTAATATACTCTCACCTATTTTTTAGTTGGAGTATGTTAGCAATTTACATCAAAATTTTAGAACAAGAAAATCGCTCATTTATTTTGATTAGATTAATTTGTATAAAGAATATTATAGTAATTTAATTTAATTTAAAAAAATATTTTCTCTCTCTTATTAATTTCATTCTCCAACTCATTTCCTTTTTTTTATTAATTAATTTTTTATTTATTCAGAGAGAGGGGAAACATTATGAGAGATGAGAGAAATTTAAAGAAGGAATTTAATAGAAGATAGATAAATGAGTTAGAGAAAGAATTTAATAAGAGAGAGAAATGAGTTGGAGAAGAAATTTAATAGGAGAGATAAATGAATTAGAGAATAAAGTTAATAAGAGAGAGAAAATATTTTATTTTATTTAAATTAAATTATTATAATATCTTTTATACAAATTAACTAAATAAAAAAATGAGTGATTTTCTTGTCCTAAATTTTGGTGTAAGTTGCTAACATACTCAAACTAAAAAAATAGGTAAGAGTATATTAGCAATCCTCATATATATATATATATATATAAATATATATATACATATATATACATGTATTATTAATGTGACTTTTAAGATTTTTTTTACAATTTAAGGTATCTATTTTAAAATTTAATAAGTTTATAATCAGTCAACAACTTTATAATTAAATGATAATGTAAAATTGTTTAATAAATTAACATGTATTATTAATATGACTTTTGTGCTTTGTTTTAGGAGGAGAGGAATAGAAGGGAATAAGAGAGAATAGATAAAAATTAATTTGATAGAAAATAAATATAAAAAATAGTGTGAAACAGGATAAAACTTATAGTTGTTTAGTATAATAAAATTAGTTGAAAAATAAAATAAAATTGATATTTATAATTATTATTTTACCTTCGCTTTGTATTATAATTTAAATTATTATATTTTTTCATGTTGCAATTTTTCACAGTTTTAAAATTTCACAAGAATTTCCTTAATAAAGAGAGTATAAAAAATAATGTGAGACTTACTTATAATTTTACACAATTTTTGTTAAAAATCTTCCGCTAAACATTGATATTTTTTTTTATAAAAGATATTCACTCTAATTCACCCTTATTCCTATTAATAATTTCCATCACATATAGGCTTAGTTTCTATATAAGTTGTATTTATAAAGCAATTGATTTTTTTAGATTAAAAAAAAGGCAATCGATTTTTTTGAAAGTTAAATTTTTCCAATCCACGAGTGGTGCGCCTTCAAACACGATATGCCACGCGTCACCCTAATATTTAATGTAATCAATTTTATTAAATAAATTACTATCACAAAATTAAATGAGCGAAAAAAATCTACAAATATGATTGTTATATATTAGATATGAATTGTTATTTTAAGTTTTTTTATAAAAAATTTATAATTTTTTCAACTTTTTTTATTATCTAATTTAACTTTAATTTGTCAGAATTATTTTAAATTAAATATTAATATTTTAAAATAAATTACATATAAATAAAATATAATATAAATTATCAACTCTTATATATTAAACATGAATATTTATCATACATAAGAGTGTTTTTAAGTATATTTTTGTTTTCCAATCAGGAGATTTGTAAGAATTTTTTTTAATTTCTTATATAATTTGATTATTATTTATTATAATTATTTTTAATAAAATATTATTATTTTAAATAAATTATCAATAAATAAAATAATTTTATATTATAATATAAATTATTTATCATAAATATAAAATATATTT